TCTTTTTTTCCTATTCGGGAATTTGAAGAGGGGAAAAAAGAGAGAAATAAAAAAAAAAAAAAGGTAAGAGAAGGATGTCTCCATGTCTAGGTCATCACATTGTCTACAACTCCGGCAACAAAATGCCTACAACATCCGGTATTCAAAAGCGGTCTCCCATCCATGTACTGACCAGGCCCTATGCTGCTTGACTTCGGTGATCGGACGTGAACCAGTATATTCAGCATGGTATGGTCGTAGACAAAGGACTCGTGAATTTAAACCTATTTAACATTAGACAATGACGTCACCATCTGATTTCTTTTGATGGGGTGGTAGTAGTAGTAGTTTCAGATGTTCATGATTGTTTGAAAGTGACCGACTGGGTAAGGAAACGGCTCTTCTCCAACTAAGAGACTGTGTCCTCTGTAGATGGAGCTCTTGTTCAACTATATTATTGGGGGTATCAATAATACTCCAGAGCTGCACTTCTATGCCTTGTTCAGATCAGGTCTTGGGGAAGAGGAATATAACAAGATGACGTCATATTCTAAATAAGCCTTTGAGCAGACCTAGTACCTCGACACGCGATATAGTATTCACCTTGTCTTTGTTTATGACGTAATGGTCATCATGCGCAAAGAGTGTGCGCATTGACACTGTCTTGGAAACGGTTGCGGATAAAACATTGTGCCATTATGCTACATGGAGGATGGAAGAAAAGAAAAAGGAGGAGCCGGGCCAGGATGGGAAGGGGGGGGGGGGGGCGGGAGTTTGTTATAGATGTGAAGGAGGGAAGGAAGGAAGGACGGTAATAGAGGGAAGAGGTCGATAATAAGCTTCTTTTAGAAGGGATCAAGAGCAACCAAAAGCTCGTCACCCTTTTCTTTGCTCCTCCAGAAAAGCGTGATATTTTTTTTCCTATTCGGGAATTTGAAGAGGGGAAAAAAGAGAGAAATAAAAAAAAAAAAAAAAGGTAAGAGAAGGATGTCTCCATGTCTAGGTCATCACATTGTCTACAACTCCGGCAACAAAATGCCTACAACATCCGGTATTCAAAAGCGGTCTCCCATCCAAGTACTGACCAGGCCCTATGCTGCTTGACTTCGGTGATCGGACGTGAACCAGTATATTCAGCATGGTATGGTCGTAGACAAAGGACTCGTGAATTTAAACCTATTTAACATTAGACAATGACGTCACCATCTGATTTCTTTTGATGGGGTGGTAGTAGTAGTAGTTTCAGATATTCATGATTGTTTGAAAGTGACCGACTGGGTAAGGAAACGGCTCTTCTCCAACTAAGAGACTGTGTCCTCTGTTGATGGAGCTCTTGTTCAACTATATTATTGGGGGTATCAATAATACTCCAGAGCTGCACTTCTATGCCTTGTTCAGATCAGGTCTTGGGGAAGAGGAATATAACAAGATGACGTCATATTCTAAATAAGCCTTTGAGCAGACCTAGTACCTCGACACGCGATATAGTATTCACCTTGTCTTTGTTTATGACGTAATGGTCATCATGCGCAAAGAGTGTGCGCATTGACACTGTCTTGGAAACGGTTGCGGATAAAACATTGTGCCATTATGCTACATGGAGGATGGAAGAAAAGAAAAAGGAGGAGCCGGGCCAGGATGGGAAGGGAGGGGGGGGGGGCGGGAGTTTGTTATAGATGTGAAGGAGGGAAGGAAGGAAGGACGGTAATAGAGGGAAGAGGTCGATAATAAGCTTCTTTTAGAAGGGATCAAGAGCAACCAAAAACTCGTCACCCTTTTCTTTGCTCCTCCAGAAAAGCGTGATATTTTTTTTCCTATTCGGGAATTTGAAGAGGGGAAAAAAGAGAGAAATAAAAAAAAAAAAAAGGTAAGAGAAGGATGTCTCCATGTCTAGGTCATCACATTGTCTACAACTCAGGCAACAAAATGCCTACAACATCCGGTATTCAAAAGCGGTCTCCCATCCAAGTACTGACCAGGCCCTATGCTGCTTGACTTCGGTGATCGGACAAGAACCGGTATATTAGTTTGTTTGTTTTGTTTGTTTTATTTCCGCTTTTTTATATCAATACAAAGAAACATACAAATAAATATAATGAATAACATGTAAGTTTGACAAAATTTGTTTCTACTTAAAATAAAAGTTTCATACAAAAGGAAAAAGCAGGATACCGTAAGCGTAAATGCTTAAAGATGACCGTGGCCTCTGCCGAGTTAACAAAAAAAAGAACAACTGATGCAAATGCATTGTATTCAATGTTAAATAAGATATAATGAAGTGATTAAAAGTGAGCATGGCTGAATTAATTTTGAGTGAAAATAACAAAACATATTTAGTGAAATATTTCGTGCTGAGAAGTGCATTTGTGCAAGGTGCAAAATTTTAACTTGGTGGAACAAAAAGAGACTAATACCGTGATATTAATTATTTTGAATTATATTCAGCATGGTATGGTCGCAGACAAAGGAATCATGAATTTAAACCTATTTAAGATTAAACAATGACGTCACCATCTGATTTCTTTTAATGGGGTGGTAGTAGTAGTTTCAGATGTTCATGATTGTTTCAAAGTGACCGACTGAGTGAGGAAACTCTGTGTCCTCTGTAGATGGAGCTCTTGTTCAACTCTATTATTGGGGGTATCAATAATACTCCAGAGCTGCACTTCTATGCCTTGTTCAGATCAGGTCTTGGGGAAGAGGAATATAACAAGATGATGTCATATTCTAAATAAGCCTTTGAGCAGACCTAGTACCTCGACACGCGATATAGTATTCACCTTGTCTTTGTTTATGACGTAATAGTCATCATGAGCAAGAGAAGGGAAGAGCCACCAAAAACAGGTCATCTTTTTCTTTCTTCCTCGTCTTTCCTCAAGAAAAGCGTGATATTTTTTTCCTATGAGGGAATTTGAAGAGGGGAAAAAAGAGAAAAAGAAAAGAAAAAGGTGAAAGAAGGATGTCTCCATGTCTAGGTCATCACATTGTCTACAACTCCGGCAACAAAATGCCTACAACATCCGGTATTCAAAAGCGGTCTCCCATCCAAGTACTGACCAGGCCCTATGCTGCTTGACTTCGGTGATCGGACGTGAACCAGTATATTCAGCATGGTATTGTCGTAGACAAAGGACTCGTGAATTTAAACCTATTTAACATTAGACAATGACGTCACCATCTGATTTCTTTTGATGGGGTGGTAGTAGTAGTAGTTTCAGATGTTCATGATTGTTTGAAAGTGACCGACTGGGTAAGGAAACGGCTCTTCTCCAACTAAGAGACTGTGTCCTCTGTAGATGTCCTCTTAATAACTTGGAATCATAGTTACACCAAAAAATTAATCTACCCCTAACCTTCTATTAGCAGAAATCAAAGTATAGCTTCCATCTTATAGATTTTTCTCCGTACAATAGTCTTTTCACCCACATTACCCGTTGGGATCTACAAATGAGTCAAAATCAGTCATTCGTAACCCTCCTTCATTATAACATTGATACAAGATTAATTTAATCTTTTAAGTCGATCTTTCCCATTCCATATAAATTCAAAACATATTTTCTGTATTACCGATATCACCCGCATTGAACCACTAGTGAAGCAAAAACGTAATTTAATTTACATAATGCATGTGTTTTTTTATAAAAATGAATTTTTCCAAACACCATAAGGTCCCTCTGTTTCAACCATCCGAGAAGTCTTTTAATCTTGCTTAAAATCTCCTTATAATTCAATTCCTCTCTTATTCTGACGTCTAACGCAAAATACACTCACAAAATCTTAATTTCTTTAACCATATTTCCGAAGGGAAGTTTTTCTGATTTGTCTTAGTTTTTCCCCCAATTTCATAATAGTAGTTTTTCCGCATTAACCCGTAATACAATTCTCCTTTACTCTTTCTACAGATTCTTTATTTCTAACAAATATTGTCACGTCATCTGCATATAAAACTTTTTCGCACATTTACGCTCCAAACCTTACCACACACTCACCTCATCCACCCCGTTTACACACAACAAAAATCAACCAATTTTTATTTACACACACCTGCCATAGGTCTATGTTGAAAGTAACTAATAACTTCGATAAATTCTTATGACTCTATTGTGACGAAGAATCATATAAAATTAAATATTGCAAACAAATTTTCATAAATTAAAGAGACAACTACTTCATTATTATAATTGCATTGGCATGTTTTATTATCAATATTATTATTATCATTATTATCATTATTATTATTATTAAGTAATAAGTTTCTAGCGTGAGATTTACTTGGGGAAACGCATGCTGGTGAGACGGAGGAAAGCTAATAGAATTTCGAATAATAAAATAAATTCAAATTAAATTTACCAGCCAACTATGTAAATTTGGTCGTCTTAATAGCATGTTCGAATCAAAAATGATAATAATAGCTACATTTATATTGCGCAAGTAAGGTCTCAAGGCGCTTATAAATTAGTATTATATTTATTTATTTATTTATTCATTTCATATAACAATTGTTTACACAATAAAGAATATAGTTGACAAAGTAAGATCAAAATTATAAAATGAAACATGAACCTACTGGAAAGCATAGCTTGTTTTTGTAGGTTCAAAAAATAAATATAATATGAACATTATTATCATAAATCATTTTAAAGTGTCTTAATAATCACAGTAAAATATATATAATATAATAACATATTTTCGTAAATATTATTATTATTATTATTATTCCCCAAGCTTTAGCCCAAATGCCATATGGCGATAATTAAAGCATGCACATAATAAAATCATACCAAGTACCAATTTACTACACTTGGATATCGAGTAAAAAAGTAGATTAATGGACATAAATGCCGTATCCACTAGGCCACGACAACTCTTATTTACGCCTACCCTTTTTTATTCAAACGTTAGTACCTTAGTATGACGTTAACTGTTATATTTTGTTGATTAATTTGTTACGCAGCTTGAGATGAAAATGTTTCTTAGAGTGGGTCCAGGTATTGAAGGGTACGAAAGTCATTTTTTTTGGGGGGGGGGGAGCAACGATCGTACTCAGAGCGACGGGGGAGATTTATTTAAAGGGGGAAAAAAGAAGAAAAAGTGGCTCAACTTGTACTCTACAGATACTGCAGAGTACAAAAACAGTAAACAATGCACATAACATTTGCACTGAAAGGTATTCGCCTGTTGTCAATGCAACAGGCGCAAGATCGTAGAGAAGCAAAACAGTCCAAAGTCTCACTGGAACGAAGTTTTGCAAATACAAGTGAAAGAACAAATTAAACCATTTCGACCCCCTCTTTCTTCATGTCATATCGAATTTGAATATGATATCAAAAGTTGCCACGTCTGGTCCCCTTTATTATTGGATAACTAAACTGAATAAAATGTTGTTGGAAAACCGTTTTGTACCTGACCATGTAACCCTCTCTCAATAAAGCAATAAATAAATGAATAAATAAAACCATCTTATCCTCCCTGTTTTTTTGTATTGCATAACTCATTTGAAAAAAATATCAACATTTACTAATATTATGAAACAACAATAATTTGAATGATCGGTAGCATAACTCATATTGATAGCTGCATAATTGCATTCACACATATGCAACGGTTTACTATACTGTGCGTTATCTATTAAATGTAAAGGTAATTCCACTATTAATTCATAACAGACAAACAGAAAGGCGGAAGAGCAATTATGGCAACGTAAATAGAGACAGGCGTATATATCTAGAAGTACATAATATAATGAAAACAAAACCCACGCGTTGAAATATATATGATTATAAAGAGAAGAATTTGTTGACGACGTTGACGACGGAACATACAAGTTGAACATAAAGCGTCATTTTGATTACGTCAGTATGTCAATGCGCTAAGAAAGCCAGCGACCATGACCATGGTATGATGTTACTCTCATACTGCATGTCTGTTCTACTCTGATGACGTAGTCCAGCGTCAGCAAACTTACGCCTTATATGCGACAGGCATTACAGTCAATGATTATAATCACCTTCATGTCTGTTGCACACGAGGCGCCATTTTGCTGGCGCAAGGCTGCGTCAGCGACAGCCATCGGAGCGCCATTTAAGAATGATATCATTCGAGAATTGAATGCAAAATGAAGAGCGCTAACACTGCTTTAAATCACCGACGTTTGCACCTAGTACCTCCTCAGACTTAATTAGCGCAGGTTATAGTTGGATTTATCGAAATGACGCAACATGCCTATCCGAAGTAGTCCGACAGTATGCTTGGTATGGCTGATTCCTCATAGTCCCTGACGGTGAGATTATTGATACCATCTGCTCCACGAATCATTGCAGAAAGTTCTAGGGTAAAATAAATACCGGGAGATAAAAACAAAAATAACAATAACTGCTTGCTTTATAAAGAAACAAGCACGGCGTGAGTAATGTGATAATCCAAAAAGGTTTATAGAACACAATTGAGTGAGGCAAGTGAGAGATAGACAAAATAATACACAAAAGACCATTTTCATTGTTTGGCTTACTTTTTTGCCTAATTGATCAGAAACTAATGATAGATGTATATTGTTTGTTGTCTGAAATATATCTATATATTTGGACTAAATGCTTCTGTTCTTTACTACAGGTAAAACATATTGGTTTTAAGGGGTAAATGCCGGATTAGTTATCCTCCCTCCAAGGAAAACAGATCAGGGCGTATGCCTTCGGGGTCGAAAATGTGAATGCGTGCTTCGTATTCCTTTCGTGTTTTTTGAAATATGCCACAGTGATGTTATAAGGAGGCATGGGCAGGTTTTGTACCGAAAATCCTATAGAAAAAGAGAAGAGAGAGGGAGAAGGAGAGAGAGAGAGAGAGAGAGAGAGAGAGAGAGAGAGAGAGAGTGTGGGAAATATCAGATAATCGCTTTGCTTACTTTTGGGTGCATCCTTGGGCCGGTAAAGACATAAGATCTTCTTGTTCCCATCGTGGGCCCTTCCAATCTCGTAGCCAACACCGAGGGAAGGATTGCTAACTTCTGCTACCATTACTGAAAGATTTAGCAAAGAGTCAGACCTCACCAATCAATAATTAAACAAAAGGCACCAGAGTTCGTACATTTCAATGAGCAATGGACAAGGCTGTTGAAATTGCCTTAATTAGGTTGATATTTCGAAAAATCTTTGCGATCATGCCTTTACACTGCCTGATAGTATTTCACCCTCCAGCGCTATTATATTAGCCCATATTATTATATCATACGTTAGTCTTATTTTTATCCTCACTAAATGTTCAACACCGGCTTTCACATGTGCTTCAATACAAGAACTACAATGATTCATGTGGTAAACACACCTATTTTTATACCTTTGTGCAGCATATCGATTATACGATTTTATGGAATAACCAGAACTTTAAATTTGTACATGTCATTCAGTGGCGTAACCCGAATCCATTGGGGCAGGTGGGAGGGGTGGACTGGTGCTACTGGATTTACCAATGTCTTATCAATAAGAGGAGGTGTAGGGCATAGTGGCTCATTCATTTGATTCTTTAATCCAAGGATTAATGGTTCGAATCCCGGCACTACCGTCCTTTGACAAAACATTAGCCATATTTCATGCTTTCTACTCAGGTGTAAATGGAGACCTAGGATAATAATAACTTCGAGTGCCGCGGGAAACAGCATAATACTAATTAGGCTTCCCCAGGTAAACACAATTATAATTATTATCATTATTATTGTTATTATTATTACTAATCTAATTACAAACATTGACAAAACGATGGCATTAAAAAGTGTATTTACCGTCTGATTGGTCAATTAGTGTGAGGTCGGCTTGGTAAATTGCTTTATCAGACGTAACTATATCAAAAATGAAAAATAGAAAAAAAAACATTATTACTCACTTTCCAAGGAGAAGTCTAAATATTCTTTAAAATGAACAAGGTTATTTGCAAAAAGGGCCTTGGACACATACATATTAGCTGGACTGCAGTTAGACACAAAAACATTTTTGACAAACAATTTCCCAAATGATGATAATCAGTTTGTGGTTTATACATCACGATTCTACGCGTCTGATTGGTCAAAATGTCCCGTCTCAGGGTTAAATACAGCTTACAGATCACATTAATGGGCAATAGTTTTAACCATGCATCCAAAGCAGTATGTACCTGATATACTATTTTGGAAGGTGTCATGGAAAAGTTGTTGGGGAGGTGTCGTGCTACTGTGGTTCGTTCACTTGACTCTCAATCCTAGCGTTGAGGGTTCGAATGCCAGCCCGGCACTAGCGTTCTTTAATTATTTGTAACAAGACATTAATCCACATTTGCCGCTCTCCACCCTGGTGTATATGATTGTGTACCTGGCAATTACTGGAGTAATACTTACTGGGTCTTTAGCAATTACAGCATTGATACTGGTGAGGCTGATTCCCTTGGTAAACAAAATTACTATTTTATATTTTGGCCTACCTGCATCCTCTTTCTGTATTGCCTGATCGTCGCCGAATTTTTCGGTTAGGACTTTCCCATACTTCATGAGTTCTTTGACGAGCATGCTGAAAACCCTAGCGTCCTCCCCCTTCTGGCCGCCCCTGATGCTGCGGCCAAAGTAAATCTTCAAATTCTTTCCAGACATTGTTTTGACTTTAAAGTTAGAGAAGGTTGAAATCTGAGAAAAGTTGAAAAGTAAGTTGGTTGCCCGGTTAGTTGTGAGCTTTTTTATGTTAGTGGGGAAAGAATATCATAGAAATCAAAGGGGTCTGCTCGCTATTTAGAAAAGATCGCTATTCATTTAGTCTCGCGTTATGGATAGCGGTCCTTATGAATAGTAGTCCTTGTGAATGGCAAACCATAGACAATTTAGCTCGCTATTCATAAGGACCGCAATTCATAAAGGATCGTTGTTCATTTTTGTCGCACGTTATAGATAGCGGTCCTTATGAATAATGCAGGCTTGAGGCTCACTTCTTTTCGAAATAGCCCCTTTTATGATAAAATATATGCAATGATATGAAAAGACACATAAACTGCCCATTTTATCATAATTATGATTCAGTAGAAAGTGTCTCCTGCTACAGATTTCACCCATTCATTTGATTCAATAAAAAAGAAATATTTTTTCCTATTATCCCAGTAGACATTCGAATACAAGAAAATTTCATAGAGACAATTTTCATAAGTAGAAGTCTTATGTCGTAGAAGACATATTTCACAGTAACGCCTGCTACAGGTGCAAAACCATTTTGCTTCTATATTGATATTCCCATGGATAGCGTCCAGGGAAATTCTTCAACCCAAACCATACTCGGTGCTCTCAAGCGGGATTGTTAACCAAATCCTTATGTCATGAAAAAACAAGATGAAATGATCGAAATCAAACAGAACCCAGGGCCCCGTCTTACAAAGATTTGATATCAATTGCAACTTTTTAGCGATATATATCAATAGCAACTACGTTCAAAGAGAGAGAGGGGGAGGGAGAGGGAGGGTGGCGGGAGAGATAGAGTGAGAGATAGAGAGAGGAGAAGAGAGATAAGAAGAGAGAGAGAGGAAGAGAGATAAGAAGAGAGAGAGAGAGGAAGAGAGAGATGAAGAGAGAGAGAGCGAGAGAGAGAAAGAGAGAAGGTGGTTACTCTGCTTTAACGACTAAAAAGGATACTGCTTTATTCCGCTTCACTCACATCAGAAATGTTATTACCTTCTTTTCTCCTCCTGTTTGCCTTTACAACTTTCTCTCACAATCTTATAAATGCACCTCCATGCTATTCTACCCACATTCACTTGTTTATTCTCTATATATATTGTTTTGATCTCACTTCCGTTTATAAAATCCCACGTTTTTCATACTCAATCAAAGCGACGCAAAACAAGTCTCACCCAAATATATATATATATATATATATATATATATATATATATATATATATATGTATATATACACTGTTTATATATACATGTCAACAACTTAGATGGGGGTATAGGCAGGCGTGTACGCAGGGGGGGGGGGGGGGGGGGGGTGGGTTAACCCCCCCCCCCCCTTCAACTTTTTTATGTGTTTGTTTTGGAGGAAACCCCCGCCTTCAATTTTTTTTTTAATCCAAAAAAAAAAAAAAAAAAAAAAATTGTGGTAATGGGTGACCCCAAAAAGCTGACCTTAGCCCACCCCCCCCCCTTCAACGAAACAAAATATCAATCGGCCAAATTTTCAAAGTTTGGGACACACACAAACAAAAATGTCCTCTTACCACCCCCCCCCCCCGCTTATTCAGCGGTTTGCTGAGTCGTTGCCCGATTAAAAAATGTTAACCCACCTCCCCCCCCCCCCCCCGCCCCTGCCACTGGGTATAGGAAACATATTAGAAAATAGCTTGGTCTTGCCTACATAGGAAAGCAAAACGTGATGGCGGTCAATAAAGGAAACAAAACATTTAGACATAATTTCTCTTTTCTTTTATTTACAGGCATGCATATAAATAGCGACATCAAAGGCCTCGCATCAACCATTTTCAACTTTCAACATGATAACAAACAGCTTTTCCATGCGAAATAAACGTAGAATAAACATGATTATACTACCTATAAAACAAGATTTTTCTTCTTTTGTGAAATGCAAAAAATTCAAGCAATGAAAATCTTGAAAATACTTAAATATGTTGACATTTTTAAACGCTCAATATAAACGTGTGATTACAGTTACATGTAGAGCAGTTTAGTTGATTGCTGGTTGTAGAAAAATCTTCAACAAGTATAAATATTATACAAGCAAATATTGTACAAAATAAATTATGCAGACATTGATCAACGTAAGAACCAAAACATATTTACCTTATTCCTACGATGAATTACTTAACTGATTTGTTCAACGTAAACAGATGTAAGACGTATAAAAACGAAAGAAACATGGATACCTCCCTATATGCTTAAAACTCAAACAGTATGTTTACCGCTGAGTTATGTTGTTCATGTTACATTGAGAGGAAACTTCACAGTGCTTCCGGCCTGGGTCGAAAGGTCAGGGAGCACCGGGGAATTTCTTCCTATCACTCATACTTCCGGAACGGACTGGGACTGAAATTCGGTTGGAGGGATTTCGATGTGACTGGCCAAATCAACCTATTACGTTTTGATCACCTTCGAACAATAACTACCAGCCCGCAAGTCAAACTGTCGAGCAACACATGCGGGGGGGGGGGGGGGGGAGGGGCTCCCCGAACTTCCCGATTTGTATGTGCCGATGTTTATTGTGCCGGATGTTGTGGTGGGGAATACCATTTTTGTTTATTTAGGAATGGACTTTGTCCTTTGCTTGAAAGACATCAACATGTTATGACCTCAGATATTGCTACCAGATCTGATCTGGATTCCCCATCATCAAGTAGGTATCTCTTTTCAAACCGTGGCAACCATTTTTTCGCCATAGCTCTATCTATTTTGATACTATGGCTACACTTCTTTTTCAGAAAATGCCGATGGAATCTGAAATTTATCCCATTATTTTATCAGTCAACTAGATTCTGATTTGTCGTATACTGTAAGAATGTAATATATTCTTAGAACAAAGCTTAACTCTATTCTACGGGTATATTCGAAAAAGTTCTGTCACAAACTGTGAGTGTACCGGAGTATTTTATATAATGATACTGAAGGGAGAGAAACCAATATACTCTACATGTTCCAACTAAGAACTGGGTGAAAAGAATCGACTCTATGCGCCCTCATGTGGTTCGGTGAAGGCAGTAATGGTATTCCAAAACTACTATTTACTTTGATATACACTTTTTGAAATTAAAGTTTGTTCGATAGATTTATGGCTCGAATTCCAGCACGGAACTATGGTCCTTTTCTTGCTTTTTGTCTGTTAAAAGTTAACACATATAAAGTTATGTTACTCGAAGATCTATATACATTTTATTAACTTTATGACTACTTGTAAGGCAGTTGTTATTGAAGGAATATTTATTTTCACTATAATTGCATTTTTTTTGTAATAGCCCTAAAATAAACACGCCCAAGATGGGAAGCGAAACAATTTCAGGTACAACATAGAGATAATTAAACTGCAGTGTATAACACATTGTCTTATGTTACATATGAAACATGTCTATTGAGTCTAGGCAGGAGGTGCCTATGGTTAATTGTAATAACAATGTTTTTAATATCTCTTCATAGCCAGCGTAATATATGAAATTGCACTTATATACATAGGTATAATATATAATTATATATATACAGGTATTTTAGAGAGAAGGGGAGAGAGGCGAGAGGGAGAAGAGAGAGAAAAGAGAAGAGAGAGAGAGAAGAGAGAGAGAGAGAGAGATAGTGAGAGAGAGAGAAAAGAGAGAGAGAGGGAGATAGGATTAGGACACACAAACACACACTTAAGCGCTCAAAGGTCAATTTATGGAGCTAAAACAGTAATTTCCTCCCAACAAAATAATATTAAAAGGAGGGAGCTATTTTAATTTGGTGCTCCACGCATTCGACCTCTTAACGAGCACAAATTCTGTTGACGTAACAGAACTGTTGCCCATATAGTGGGAATCTGTTTTTACCAGTTTTCATGATTATGAGAATACTATTTATTCTTTATAGGTAAAGTTTTGAGAAGATATTAAATTTGTCTTTCTAAAATAATATTGTACCAATTATTTCATGAAAAGAGGTAAACAAAATTGAATCCAACGTTATAGGCATCAGTACATCTCTTTACTCATTATGCTACAACACAAGGACGCCCCCAATTGTCGATGTCACATCCTTTTACAGCCTTGGTGTGCCATTCATGCGCTCATCGAGAAGGCGCATGCGCGAATGGATCTCATCCCAGTCTAGGAATCCACCAATGAGAAGCCTGGAATGATCCTCCCCGTCAACATACTTGACAGTGTATGCACTGCGTCCGTGCATCACACGGTTATTGTCGAAGGCGATGATTTCACCTATAAAAAAACAAAGTAGGAGATAATGGTAATAAGAATGATGATACCAATAACAATAATAATAACCAGCATATTAATTATTATAACAGCAACAACAACAATGATAAAAAAAAAGATAATAATTATAACATTTCTAATAATATCAACCCAACATCAACAAAAACGACACCAATAATAACAATTATAACGAAAGGGGGCCAAAAATATGAGTACCTATAAGCATCATATACACTGTAAAAAAATAATAGTCGAAATAACTCAATAAAATTGAGGAAAAGAATTGCCTTATTTTTATTAAGTAAATATTACCTACGGCATCTTAAGTAGAGTTTACTTATTTTGCTGAATAAATTTTTACTCAGTTAAATCGAGTTACATTAACGTAAATAATTTAAGTATTGTAATCATTTTAGATAATTAAAAAAAAAGCTACGATAGGATTACATATTGCACGATTTGGTACCCATCTAATCTAACAAGTAACATCCACTAATCATTCACTACTTCTATTTAAGATTAATCACTAATCACTAACACACGCTTCAATTCGACACATATTGAAAGGCTCCAAATTTTATGTATACTTGATCGTAGCATCTTAAAAGGAAAATTGGTGGACAATTTCCTGAAATATCAAGTTTTGATTTGTTTTTAACTGGGTAACAATTAAAAATTGTCTTGTCTTTGCTTAGCCATGTTAAATGAATTAGTAAATGTTTTAAAGTCCTTAAATTTTCATTCAACCAAAAAAAAGAATTGTTTTATTTAAAAAAGAGTTTAATTTGGTCTTAATGAATATTCATAAATTATGTAAATATTTCTATTACGCACTGCATCGGTCCTTACTTTAAAAAGATAAGAATAATCAACATAAATTGTTTGAGTAGTACGTATAATTTCTGATTTTGAGTTGAAATTACTAAATTAATACAAGCTGAAATTACTTAAAGTTCTTATGTATTTGATTTTACTTAAATATTCCACGTATGTTCTACTAAATTGAAAGTTTGAGTTAGCAAGACTTAAATTTAGTGCGTAAGTGGCAAAACTAATGTTTTCAAGTAAATTCTACATGGAAAAAATACGTACAAATTACCAATGAACAAATTCTTTTTTACAGTGTAGTCCCGCGTGGCTAGGTAATGTTCGACATTTGAGACATACACCTCAATATCAATATTTTATTTTATATTAGGTCAAAGAAAGTGGGACCAAGATTCGAATACATTCACTGAATATAATTTCCTCCACAAAATCTTACTTAAGTAATTATAAGTCATGGATGGGCAATAGTTTGCTCACTGGTAGACCGACCAGAGGAAGACAGTGCAATATTCTATATTTATGGGCATAAAGTAAACCCACTTCTCCACCAACCCACATACACACGCACGCGCGCGCGCACTTACATCCAACCCACACACACAAGTGGCCTGTTATATGTGCCATATTCAGAATTGAATATGAGGTCTATTTAAATACCTGGCTGGAGCTTGTAGTCGATGAAGTTCTCCTTTCTGTAAAGGAATTCGTTGAACTTCTTGAGAGCTTGGTAGATCTTGTTCACCTCTTCCACCGGGACGTTCATGTATGGAGAGCGAGTTTGGTCATTGTACGCCAAAGTCTTGAATTCACCTTGTTCGTCAAGTCTGAACAAGATTGAGAAAGATTCATAACTGACTTTGCCAAATTGACAAGTATTTTAGCTCTATGTACAATATAATGAAACATGACGTTTTGGAAGGTCCATTTTTGCATACAACTTAATGTGATCGCTACATTCATTCTTTGGTCTCTAAACAGTATGGGGTGACTGTACAATTGGTAATTGCCATAGTTCAGAAGCAATGTTCATTTTCAGTTCTAAGACCAGCAAGTCATAACAAGGCTCGATTGTTAAAGGGAAAGTAATTTGGAAATTCTTGAGATCAAACCGGAAAAGACCAGTTGACAAATGTATTCTTGGTTTAACAAATTTGTTTTCCTTCAAGACGGTTACTTGCTCCTTAGGAACCGAAATCTTGAGAGAAAAAGCAAAACTGATGTACGAAAGATGGATGCCATTCCTGTAAAGCTTTAGTAGTTTTTCAGAAATTTTCCTGAAAAGAAACATGCGCATACTGGAATACATTCGTTAACTGGTCTATTGTGTGCAAAAATGGACCCGTTGAATGGCAAGGTGAACCAAATGATAATTATGAAAGTCAATAACTTTTTTCTGTTCCCAGTTCTCCATGAAAACTAGAATGGAGAAAAAGGGAGACTCTCGCATGTCCAGACTTAGTTCCAGCTCATAAAATGTTCCGGCCTTAAATCATGTTATATAAAGGTATCACCAGAAGCTGTACATAGAAATGTTTTTGCATTAATAATTTTCAACAAAATACGTCATTAAGTACAAGAATAATACGTCACAGCTACGTCACAACCAAAGAGGACAGCTTATTGAGGCACCGTTACGGTCATCCCTGCTGTTTTCCCCTTGTGTGATCTTCGAGAGAGAAAAGGGAGGAAAGGACAAAATGAAAATGAAAAGGTTTTTCTCACTCTATCAAGTTCCTTGCATGTTGCAGATGCGAGTCGATATAGTCGATCCCGAGGAGCCGGAAATCAAGTTTGACATTGGTCATGTACTCGTACCATTCCGGTTCCTCCTTCTTGAGCGTCTCTGCGACTCGTTTGGCATCCACGAACTGACTTTCGCCACCTTTGACCTCACACTGGCGCAAGCAGTTAAGAAACTGAACCTGTGATTGGGATAAAACCGTAGCCACCTAGAAATGAGTTTACTGCCTTCACAAGTATCCCTGTAAATTAAGACGCTTGGTGCACACACGCCCTCAGTAGATCCTCGTCAGCCTGTCCAAGGAAGGTGTTGAAAAGAGCTTCAGAGGACATCAGTGAATAGACATCCATTCTGCGCATTTTCAATATAATGACTCATCCATTGATTCTAACACAGAGAAGAAGACAGACATCAGGATGTATTTTTTTAATAGCAATAGCACAAGTACTTTAATTAGTCGATTGCTGAGAGCCAGAATAGCCTTAATTCTGTTTCAAAGAGTACTAGATAACGCTTTTCTGACTCTCAAAGACGTTTTTGAAATATGAACAGGAAGCAAGTAGGTGAGTACAGAAAACATTATTATAATGCATGGTTAAGTGTACATAATTTCAAATAACGTATTTAATCACTGTGGGCAAACACCTTAAACAGGTATTAACATTAATATTGTTATAACAAGGCCTCGGAAATATGGGTTCGGACTACAAGATCATAATGAAACAGTCATGTACTGTTTATCTCATATCGGAAAATTCCTAATTGTCATTTTTCTATCGCAATGGGTGGTTATAGTTTGCTTCAGGTAGCTCGAGTAGATTACCCAGTGCATCCTCATAAGCATCAATGATGTTCTTCGTGAGACCCCTGCAATTGCTATTAGTATTACCCATTCAATAGTTAGGTACCCATTTGCACATGAGTGGAGAGTACCAAATGTGGATTGCTGTCTTGCCAAATGATTATAGTGCCGGGCTGGAATTCGAACCTTATACCCTTGGATTGAGATTCAAGTGAAAGAACCACTATTCCACACCACCTCCACAGTATTGTTTTGTATATCAGGCGTGCCCAACACAAGCTCATGCTTTCCAGGATTCACGTCTTCTTTCTCACATCTGAAAGAAAATGAATTGTCTTATGAGGAAATATCCAAACTGAGAAAGATGAAATGCTAACTTACACCTGGGCGGTAGTCATAATAGGGCAGGTCCAAGTGCAGGCCCAATGCGGCTGTGGTGAAGCCCAAGCTGCTCGATTCAAAGATATTCTCCACTCGGAAGTCGGACCTACGATAAACACAAATGGGTAACAATCAAGATCACTCCTTGGAAATTATATGAACTCAAATTAACAAGATCGCACAAATTTCCCCAAAAGAAGCTCATGGCTAAATTCAATAAATGGCAAAGGTGGATATGTCTCCACACTTTAAAAGGTGACAGGCACGGCAGTCGAAATTCTCTTAGGCTGTGTTTTTTGGCGCTCAGAGACAGTTTCTTAGCAAAGATGCAAATATAAACAAGGCAACGTGCCATATTTGGCTATATACTGTATAAGTGAATCGGTTTTGATAAAGTTATAAATCGAATTCGATCTATATGTACATCACAACTGAAACAGCTATACCCATCAAGCAAGCAATAAAGGGTAGAATACAATGTCTGTCATCGTTGTTAATGAGTTAGTTTTACTTAAATAACATTTATCAGGTATCGGCATCTTGGCGAAAAGGAGGGACATATTATTAATAATAATAATGACGTTGGTAAGATAGCGCACATAACGTGGCATATTTGCCAACCCTCAACCTTTTGAAGACTTAAAGGAACTTGATGATGAGTGGATATGCTTTCAAACAGCCTACTCATATATACTTGGTTATAACAAATTGACAGGTCGAAGGGGAGGGAATGCCTTTCTTGCAATCCCTTTGAATTTTCGCATATTTCAAAAGGTGCTGGACTAGGCTACATAAATTGTCTTAAGTTGAATTAGTAGCAATCGAGTTTCAAATAACTATCACTGGACAGATACTCACCCGTAGCAGGTGAAGCGCTCGTAGCCAACCCTATCGCAGATATTCTGCACGTTCATCTCATCATGAGGGGCGTTTCTGACAATGACGAGGCCCCTACCGACCAGGCTCTCCATCCACGAATACAGCGCCTGGTCCTCATTGATGATGTCTTTGTAGTCGAACGAGGGAATCTTGTCGGTGAACTCTGACCCCCATGACACCTGTTTAACCTTCCGCACTACGTCAAAGTCGGTCTTATCGAAGCGGTGCATCTTCAGCCATTCTGCCGGGATGGGGCTCACGTGGTCATCCGTCCACTTGATCTGTTCAAAGATAGATTTAATGATTTGATTTTTTTACGAAATCACTACCACTTCTTTAATGTATTTTCAAATTCCCGTTCTTCTTTAAAGGCGTAAATAGAGCGATTTCTGGTTCTTGTATCATCCAATCATCATCACGGACGCATCGTCAATAATATGGTTGATGTATATTGTGGGACACGGCTGTCGAAATATCGAGACATTATGAGCAGCAATTCGGGCCTTTAAGTTTTCAAATTTACATCATTTGTTCTAAGATTTAACAATACGGCTACCTGGAAGGTTCTTCCGCCGTCCTTGAGTTCTTCGTGCACCGGTTTCACGTTAGGGTCCATGTTATACATCAGCATGGACCGCTGGTGACAGCTTGGGTAGTAGCACTCATCGCAGCGGCAGTTGTCCCGTATCCAAGCATAAGGGTACTTTCCCTCGAAGCCATCTTTCCAGGTGATCTCGAACCAATCCTTATCGGTGTTGCGTGCCACTGAAGCGATCTCATCCGCAGTATTGATGGCGGGTTGTGTCTGAGCATGTGCGTGTCTGACGGCGGGTTTGAACGCTGAAAGTTTGTTGCAATGGCCGCAGTTCTTAGCGCAGTCCGTGCTAGATGGAGGACAAGATAAGATAAGATAAGATGAGATAAGATAAGATAAGATAAGATAAGATAAGATAAGATAAGATAAGATAAGATAAGATAAGATGAGATAAGATAAGATAAGATAAGATAAGATAAGATGAGATAAGATGAGATAAGATGAGATAAGATAAGATAAGATAAGATGAGATGAGATAAGATGAGATAAGATAAGATGAGATAAGATGAGATAAGATAAGATAAGATGAGATAAGATAAGATAAGATAAGATGAGATGAGATAAGATGAGATAAGATAAGATAAGATAAGATGAGATAAGATAAGATAAGATGAGAAAAGATGAGAAGTCGTGTTCGTTACGCCTACCTTTACCCCGACCTATTTACTTTCGGATTTATCCAGGAGTAACTCGCTAATAGAAGGTAGCGTAATCTCGTTTCTCATTAGGGATTATTTGTGACCTTTCACGAGGTTTTTTTGTTGTTACAATCGATAATGAAATTAGATTTCGCACGGTTTAAATGCGGAAGGTAGGTTGAGGTCGACTGCGGGCGCCACCACTTCCGTCAGTTACGCTGGTCGGTGGAAGGTCCTGTTAACTTAATCGTGGCTAGTTGGTCCTAGTTAGAGGGTGTGGACAACTAATGGTGTAAGTGAAATATACATGAGGTATTTACTGCTGCAGGGATTAACTAACGCCGACTAGCAAGACCCCGTCTCAACATGGCTATAGTCATAGCTACGCTGGCCTTTACGCCGATTGATTTACTCCTGTATTTGTCTAGGAGTAACGCGCTAACACGACTAGAGGGTAGCGTAAGTTGACAGTGTGGATACTCTTGGCACTCGGAGTATCTGTGACCTTTCACAAGAGTTTTTTGTTTACAATCGAAAATTAAAATAAGATTTTGCGCGGTTTAGATGCGGATGCTGGGTTGAGGTTAGTCCAGAATCTGGCCAGATCTTTAATTCCCTACAAACTTGATTCAAGCCGCCGAAGATGGCGTTATCTACGAACTTATATTTATTCTCACCAGCCCAGCCTACATGAGAACATATTTTTTCCCCGGGTGTTCTAATTTGATGATCACGCCATCTTCGGCTGGTAGCAAATAAGTAGAGGGAGGTTGCGTTGGTGTACTGGTGGAGATCAAAATTAATAGGGCAGATTCTGGACTAGGTCGAGGTCGACTCAAGTGCGGATGCCACCACGTCCGGAAGTTGCGCTGCATATGAGTAAGACTTGATCACTATTTATAAACCGAATTCTTATTTCAGACCGTGGACCCAACGCAATACCCAATTCTAACCCAAACACTTAATTTGAATTAAAACACAATAGCAACCCTAATATCAGTGGCGGATCCAGGGGGGGGGGGGGGGGTCGGGGGCCCGCCCCGCCCCCTTTAGAAAAAAAAATCATGTAAAAACGCGTGAATTTTACCTTTTTGGGGGTTGCCTCCCCCCCCCCTGAAGCCAACAGAGCGACTTTTCGGTCGGCGCGATTTTCAAATTTTCGGGAGCAAAAAAAAAAACGTTGGGCCCCCTCCCCTAAGAAATCCTGGATCCGCGCCTGCCTAATATCCCTAACTCTACACGTTTAACGATTTGAAGCCCAAAGCACCTGTTGCAGGAGAAATTGTCGGATTATCGAGAAGATATCAAAATATATCAATATTTAAATAGCCTTGTCCATAACCAATAAGCCAGTTCACGTTTGGAGTCTGAGCAAGAGCAGAAAAAGGTCATTGCAGAACAAATTTTGGAATACACGGAGACGAAATACTGGATACGTGCTCATGAAAGTTATGTTATATTATTCATTCATGCACATTCAGTGCACTCCATGATACACAGGTGGAAGTATTCTTTGATTAGGGGAAACAAAGGCTATTCATACAGTGCGTCCAAGAAAAAACGAAACCGAGAATTATCAATTTTTCATAACTTAATCACAATTATTATTAATAAATGACACATAATGTGTCTAGCTTAGAGCCACCTCTTCATTTCATGCAACTCATATGATGCATATTTCACGCATAAGTGATTAAAAACAATTTGAAGGAAGAAAACCAAAAAGTCATTTGGCGGGCGGTATCTGAATTTCGTAGGAAAATTCCCATTTCTGGAAAGTTCAGTTTCTGCCCTTTCATATGACACCTCAATCAGGAAAAATGAGCAAGGAATGACAAAGTTCTGTATGTTTAAAAAAGTGCTTGCATTTCCATAATTTTATCAAACGACTTATCATACGAATCAAACGAAACGGAATTAACAAAAGACTTAACTCCGTTTCGTTGACAATCAGCCGTATACGAAAGACTTCATGCATGGCTGATTGTCAACGAAACGGAGTTAAGTCTTTTGTCAATTCTGCTTGTTGCTACTGCAGGCAGCCGGTGAAAACGAATTCGTTTGATACAACTATGAAGACTATAGGAAAGCCCGTCTGAACATATAGCTCATGTGAAGTGCTCCGATACGAATCATTTCATTCATCTGTTTATGAATGGTTGCATTCCCATAGTCAGAATGCGAAATGAAATCATTATAGTTGTTGCTAGGTAAGACAAATATTATGGCTTGCCCTACCTAACAAAGCGTGTATTTTGCATTCTGACTATTGAAATACAATTATAAAATGCAGGGGAATGAAATATTTGTGATGAGGCACTTCACAAACTGACTTTTGCATTAAATTTGGTTAAAGTACGAAAATTGTCTATACTGTATATTATGACATAATGAGTTGACAGGAACGGAGAGGGTCGGAGAGCTTTCAATGTGCCTTCACCTCAAATATAATATAAGCTTGATAAATATGCCTAGTAGGTTACTTAGTTCAACCCAGACTTCTATTTCAAAACCGCTCTAAAGTATGTATTCTTTCATCAATATTCGACTTCAAACACGCTTGTTTTCTAAATCCTTGCAGAAATGTGTTTTAAATGACATCCTCTTTCACATTATGATACAATTTGACACCAATTTGTTGGGGCTCCCAACATAATAGAGGGGCTTTAAGAAGTTAGTTGCAGCAATGTATGTGTCCATCTATTATATCTTTTTCTAAATCCTTACAGAAATGTGTTTTAAATGACATCCTCTTTCACACTATGATACAATTTTGACACCAATTTGTTGAGGCTCCCAACATATTAAAGGGGATTTAAGAAGTTAATTGCACTGCAATGTATGTGTCCATCTATTAATGATAAAAAGAAAATTTCACTGTCTTTCTCTCTGTCTCTGTCTCTCAATCTTTGATATCGATCCCCCCCCCCACCCACCCCACCCACCCTCTCCCCCTCTCTCTCTCTCTCTCTCTCTCTCTCTCTTCGAGACTTTTTGGCTTATAAATAATAATGCTTACCATTTTGAGCGATGCTGCACCAACGTTGTATTCTTGGTGGCGGCTGCTGACGCTATCACCTGTGCACGTGACCAGTTTGAAGACAACACACTCCGGAGTGGGGCTGACACTTGGCCTGAAAGCGTTAAGCGGGATGCTACGGTTCTGAGAGTCGAAAGTGCCATTGGTATTAAAGGCGGTCCTTCGAAAACAAACTTTTGATGATACGCTGGGAAATACTGGGAAAGTGTCACCGAATTGGACTTACCGGCTGTTGATAGACAGAGTCTGGAGAAGAAAAACAAAAGAAATTACAGAGCAACCGTACTAATAAGGCGCACATAACTATCAGCATCCCATTGCGTAAACAATAAAGCCCAACATGAGGATAGTTATACTCCCGCGAAATTATAGATGACGAATTCTGTGATTTTTTCCCAATTTTGGGTTAAGATGATCTGAGATTTGACTTAACTAACCTCAAGTCGAGATTATTTCTTTATCTAATATGTTTGAAGTTCTTAAGCGCGTAGAGGCTCTCACAAAATAGTTTCCATATCTTGGTACATGTACATGTATATGGCAGGAAGAAGGGGCAAATGTGACATAAAGTTATTCAATGTGTAATTATTTTTATATAGCACGGAAATTCTTGCCACAAAAACAGTTGGTGTTGTTTTTAATTAATCGCCGATTAAACACCCCAACCCCCCCCCCCCAAAAAAAGGGGGTAAGATAAGAAGAAGTACAACAAAAGAACTACTTCGCGCAGATAGGCGGCGCCAATTAAACCTCGTCTCTGTTTGCACAATTGTTATGCAGGCTAAAATAATCATCTGTCAAACAATCAGTCAGCGCTAGTTCGACAAGAGCCTGGACATAAATTTGTCAAAGGAATTTTCTTGATCGATTATTTGCTTATTCTGTATTGTCTTGTTGTGTATGAAACAATTTCTATCTAAAGAAATGAAGAAAAAATAAACATCTACACATTGCCTTTTTAAAGAAAATTTGAAATTACTCAATTCCTGATATTCACTTTTAACGACTTTTTAAATTTAAGTTTCAACTCAATAAGTACACGAAGTTAAATTGGAGATGTATGTTAATAAGAAATGTATCAATGAAATATAATACGATAATATAATATATAATAAATATAATATAATATAATATAATAAAATCTAGCGATAGAAAACTCAACAATGTGATGTAAAAAATGGCAAACCAAAGTTAAATATAATAATGCGGCTTGATATTTCAACGCACATCAAATAAAATTAATTACTCGTGTTTAGCCTAAGCATGCCCTAATCAACAGTTCCATGATGAAACAATGAACTAAATGAAACATTACCTAATTTAAACTCCAAAAATGAAACGCAACAAATTTGATCGCCTTGTTTAAAAAGGTATCTCTGAAGACCTGCGCCTTCTCAGTTCCAGTTTCTAAGAGCTGAATTTAGCGACTGTATTTTTGCAGGGGTTTTATAGAGAAATATTGAAAGGCTCGAAAAGCAAACAAAATGTATTCTCTCTCATTTAGATCTATTATCATGTTTGTGGCGTCAGCGATTTTATTAACGAGATGTATCTTGTGTCGTATCGATGAGGGCGGTCTGCCACCACTACTGTATTTAAAGAGAAGGTTGAATTTTGGTAAAGATGAAAACAAATTGTAAGAGTTTTCTCATTCTTATAATGTCAGCTTGATCTGTTATGATCGTAGGAAAATCCCTGAAACTGGTGCTTTTCAAATGCCTTCATTTGCGAAATGTAAAGAGAAATAGCTGAACACTTTGAATTAAACGTTCATGCCACATATGAATAATAGTCCCACTTACCAACTAATATGTCCAGTACATGTGATTTTTAAAAAGAGTGAGTCAATTTCTGTTTTTTTTTTATAATTCCAAAACATCACAATCTAAACCGTTTCTCAAGTACAACATTATCAGTATTTCTCACTCACTTCAAGATGTTAAATTCTACTGTGCATTCGCATACTGACGTTCACTCATCTTTACTTTAACTCTATTTCACAAAGAGCAGAGGATATTTTGGTATTGTTTATTTATCCCGTCATCTGTTTGAAACACGTTTTTAATCGCGTGTGTTTCGTCAGCAGTTTTTGATGAGGAGGGGGTGTGTACGGGTCGACCAATCAGCATCAATGATTGTTAATAATGTTTACTTTGCAATGTGTTTACTTTGCCAAGAAATATAAGGATTTAGAGGTTGTTTACCTGTCAACCCGACCGACCGACTAGCTTACATGGGTGCAGGTTTGGTCGCGATTTCATTATTTTTTTCATGCTTTAATTTGAAGGATTTCAGTAAAAATTAAAATATTTAGTTTTCCTCAGATGACTGAATTAAACGAAGGGATATTTCTTTTAAACTTTTTTTAGATATGCATTACTTGGTTATGGTACCTTCCCGTTATGTTTCGTAAAAAAATAGTGTCCTTGTAGTATTATATCATACATAAAAGTTAGGTCATTGCATTGTAAGGGAAAGGTCAACCTAAATATCTGGGAAACACGTTAGCCCGAAGTCCGAAGAAAAAACATTGGTTGTGTAAGTGCTTAAAGTGAGGGTGATATACATATTATATACAATTAACTACTGAAAACTGAATCTTTCATGCTCTTTGTAAATTGATGTTTTGTGTTTGTTTTTTGTAACTCAAGAATGCAAGGTGGACTGGCTGAATAAGGGCATATTTTGAATACTTTTAGATGAAAGCTTTAATATGCCACATAAACAAAACAATAACAAATCAGGACAAATCAGTTTGAATTACTCTCAACAAATTACAAAACTTGGTGAGGTTATGATTGACGTTCTTTATATAATAAACACTAAAATGAATAAGTTCAAACAAAGCACAAGGCAAATGCATATGAGACCATATCGAGCATGACAAAGAGATAGATTTCTTTAACGAAATGAAACAATGTTATTCGGATACATGGTGGTCAATATTAATGAGGCGTATGATAATTACTATGAAAATGGGCTGAACTGAAAATTGTCATAAAACAAATAACAATTTAATTGATACCTACATCTTTTGATCTTTATTTGATAATGTAAAACAGAGCCGATATATGAACAAATATATATGAAAACAACGAACCCAATCCAAAAACTACTGGAGAGCTTATAGCCTTGCAATTATATCAAAGCGGGTTACATTCTTTAAAACTAAAAAAAGGAAGGTAAATAATATTTATCTGGGCATTGAAAACCAGTCAAAACCGGATTATGTAGGGTACCAACTGTCACACGCTTTTCCCGATGTGGAGTTGTTTGCTTAAACAATTGTATTGACATTTTATTATCTCCATTGGACGTAGGCCGTAGGGTTCTAGATAGGGCTGGGCTTTGGGTCTTAACCCCCCCCCCCTTAATTTCTCATCAAGTCTCCCCTTCTCTCTTTCTTTATCATAAATGAATTTAAGCGAGGCACATGTAGAAAATGAATACAAGAACCCCAAGCGCCCAAAGCCCGCACCCAAAAATGAATATCTTCTCCTGTCCATCGTCAATGGCGCCGGGTTTTATTTCGTGAAAACTATGTAATATGCTTAGGGTTTGAGGGGTTGCAGTTTGTTTAATTTAGAGTTAGGTCCAGTGTTTAAGGGCTCAATATCAGAGGAAATTGTCGCAGCAATTGTCACGGGAGCAAGTCATGCAATCGGAACCAGTTTGGATATCTATATATGCTTTCGTTTATCTGGCTCTCACAACCTTTTTTTTCTTTTACATACATGTTCTAATAGAAATTATTTTTCATAATTTTTCTACTTTGGCAGTTTGGGATTTTGAAGTATAGAAATTCTGTTAAATTATATTATATATATATATTTATATATAGTCATTAGATATAGTCGTTTTCGAAACTAGTGAAAGAGCGTATTAGATTGATGAAAATGTATATAAATATGCTGCTATCATGTAGTAATTGTGAGCTATTTTCTGTTTTTTGTTCAGAGGGTGAGTCATCTTAATGGTACCAGGGCTGTAACGAGACTGTACGAGGCATATTAATGGCTTCTCTTATAAAATATATAGAAAGATTATCAATTCTCTTCAAATGTATAAATTTAATACCGGTTCTACTAAAATATAAGAGATGATTATGGATTGTTCGTCTTTCTATTTACTAGATGAATAATCTAGATTTGTGCTCGGGTTACATTGCGCAATGCCAAACAGTCAATATTTACGATAATACGAAATACGACTTCGAACCTCCTTACGCACCGAACTCCAGCTATTAATAGCTGGCATATGAAAGGTACTATCTCCCATTGGAGTTCAGGAAATATGTAAAGGTTAAATTCCAACGGCATTTGAAAGACAATACTTGTTTAGAACTTCCCTCAAAACGAAAGGATCATTTGAAAATGGCTTGAATATGTTTTTTGTGGGAAAATAACGATCATTAGTAGTCGAATCGACATAAGGCATTGGAATCACCTAAGTAATATTCTGGTTTTCAGACCCTTGTACCGAATGGGCGTACGTTCTGTGCTGCGCTGCACAAAGATTCAATCAGTTTAATTTTGGCCATTACAAGTAGTGGGTTTTTGATGTAGACAAATGCTCACGTACCTGTTACAGCTCATTTTATGTATGTCAGTATTACAAAAGAAAATAAAGACGTCAGTCAATCATTCAACGGTGTCTGACAGGGAAGTCTACAAAGTAAACGGGTTTCCTTGCATAATTTGAATACACTGCTAACGTTTAAATTTCACAGCTAGGACATACATGCCATATTCATAATTCCTGTAAAGTTCTACAGAATTTGATGTTTGCTGCAAAAGGGACATAGTATTTTTATATTAAGGCAAAGCTAAGGGTATATGCTTATGTGCATGGGCGCTTGTCTATATATATATATATATATATATATATATATATATATATAAGCAAGTTTAGTGAAACTGCAATTTCTGACAGTGCTCAACTGTAGGAGCAAATGTAGATATAGGAGTTGGAAGGTTACACTTTATTGGTGTAATCATTTTTCAATCATGGCGAAGTACTTCGCCATGATTGTATTATGTATTTAGTTACTGATGAGCCTTCTGGCGAAACAGTCTGAAAACTCGTACCAATAAAGTGTAACCTTCCAACTCCTATATATATATATATATATATATATATATATATGTGTGTGTGTGTGTGTGTGTGTGTGTGCGTGGGTGCGTGTGTGTGCGAATGTATTGTGATCGAATAAAATACGCTCGAAATAACAAAACGGAATAGCTCTTAACTAAATCAAACATGGAATGTTATTAATGGAATTATTTAAAACACAACTAAATTCAATTAATTACAATATTTACCGGAAGTTTAGGGTTCCATTTTATAGATATTAATTAAATGCCGTTAGTTAGCTGTTTAACCAAACTGAGTTAAAATGTTTCGAAAAATAATAAGTATGTATTCGTCCAGCGTTTCTCCAATTTTCTCTTCAAATGATAACCTCTTAGACATTTTTCTCAACCTCCTTTCACCACTGTTTTCATATTTCTATACCTCATTTCCCTTACATGCTTCATTCCATGCCCATGTTTCTATGCTTCATTATGTCATTCCTTCTCTTTTGCCATTTCTTTTAAATTCCACTAATTCTCCTTATATCATCATTCTTTCCTTGATGTCCCCTTTTTGATTTTTAATTTTATTGATCCCTATAAATTTTCGTGGTCCTCTCTATCCTTCGTTTTCTTTTCGCCCATCTCATGGGCTGTTGGTCCTCGTCCTCCTGGACGTTTTGGAACTTGCGATCTTGTGTTCGGTCTCCAGTATACGTGGGCGTGTTTATGCTTCACTTTTTCTGGCCAGAATCAGGCATCTGTTACGCGTTTAGTTTAAAACACGGTTGCGTCCATGCTTACTTTTGTAGAATCACCGAAAAACGGCGATCACGATCGCCGATCGTAAACTCACAAAAAGATGCTTTTACAATTTGTAAACACGTTTAAATGGGGTCAACGCACTGACCTCTAGTGGGTCTACGTAGCATGCACAGTGAAGGTTTGCGAATCCAGCTGGAAGACCAATTAAGGCCACACACGGATAATTGCCTCGATGAGCCAGAGAAGTAAGCATGAACAGTACACCGTGGAACTGCGATCACGATGAGCGTTTACGATGAGCGTTTCAGATCGCTCATTCTACCTTCAAAATCAAGCAAGACTCAATATCAGCGGTAAAGTGTAAGTCGACCAGAGGGGGAGGGGGCACCGTTATTACTCGAAACATGATATGTAAGTTTGCAAGACTACTGAGTAGGTAGAAAGTGTGACAGACCGTTCAGGCGTCTTCTTTCTGATCTGATCCTATTACCCATTTCCCCTTTCCTTTTTCTCGTTTAATGCCTTTTCTTTTGTTTTCTCCACTCGATGAGGGTGCTGGGATCGTCCTATAGCTGCGCTACTGGTCA